ATATATGATAATTCTATTTTTAAATATGTGTCCAATAAATAGATTTCAATTCGCCAGTTTGTGTATGCCCTCTATAAAGMTATAAACGGTATATTTAATTCAGTTATCAATATATTTTTATTATTTCGTAAAATTCATATAGCAATGTAAATAAATAAAAGTTTTAGTTGTGTCCATTTAACTGGTTAGTATTGGAATATAGATTTTAATTATACAAAACGTTAAATATATATTCAGAAATTTACTTTTCTAACTATATATATATACACAGTGAGAATAAGAGGTTTATCCTTTTCCTTATTGTATTCGATTGCTTTGATAGAAACGTGAAATTATGATCGTTCATTATTAATTTCTGCTACTTGATTGAATTCCGTATAGCCACAGTGTATTAAACACATTATGTGCAATGTGTATGTGGGCGAGAGAGTGTAGGAACCTTACATATGTAAGTAGCGCTACAGGGAAATTGGGTCAACGTCGGCGTTAGCGACCTTATCAAGGATTCTGGGTCAATATGCTTGCGCCACGAACGGCTCTTATATATACATATATGTAAAGTATATGTACATAAGTATATATAACTAATTATATTTGTGTGGGAGTGTGAGATATTGTGGGCATGGTTTTGCATTCTTTTGAGAATATCATTTATGCTGCCAGACAACGATTCTGCATGCAAAAACAAAGAGAGGGCGGTCTATTGTATTGTTGGGGGTAGAACGGGGTCATGTGCATGCAGTTTGAATTATTATGAGCGGTTCAGGTGAATTTAACTGCTGCATTGACCTCGTTTAAAGTCAGGTAATTGACATTTGGTCATGCGAACTAAATAAATGAAAAAGCAAAGTACAAGCCAATTGATTGTCTAACGAAAAAAAAATTATTAATGCAAATCAACGAAATTAAATAAATATATAAATCATATTACGTAAATAATTTTATAAAAAGTGAAGTCGCCCCCGGGTGGACTCGAACCACCAACCTTTCGGTTAACAGCCGAACGCGCTAACCGATTGCGCCACGGAGGCAGTTGTAAAGTTTGTGTTTAATGCTAAACATGAATTTATCGAATAGAACTTTTAAAATAGCTTAACTCAAAAGCTCAGTGTTCTAAATCTCGAGTTCTTATGAATGTGATTCGCGTTAAAGTAAGAAAAAATTTCGCGCTGTCCACACGGCCTCCGTGGCGCAATCGGTTAGCGCGTTCGGCTGTTAACCGAAAGGTTGGTGGTTCGAGTCCACCCGGGGGCGTAACTTTTAATTTATTTATTTATTTATTTATTTATTTTTTTTTTAAATATTTAATCATTCAAAATTGGTTTTTACTAAATATTATGTTTATTCTTTTTCAGTGGGACGACATCTTACAAAGTATGTAAAATAAAATGCTTATAGGCAACATGAAGGCGTGGCCATGTTGTCATACGCCACTGCAGCAGCAACAACAACAACAAAATTTAACAGCTATTAAGAAGAACATGCATGCAACATGTACCGTTTGAATGCCTCACAAGAGCAGCACCAACAAAAACAACAACAACTGCAGCCGCAACAACAACAACCAAACAAACAAAAACAGTCAACAATACCCAGTCACATACTATTGCAGCAACAATTAGTCGCAGCTGCAGCGTCCGCCGCCGCCGCCGCAGGCGCTGGCATCAGCAATAACAATGCTGCCTTGACTTTTCAAGTGGCCAACGTAAATGGCGGTGCAGCTACGACAACGACAACAACAGCAACGGCTGCAACTGCAACCAGTGTTGAGGATAAATTAAAGCTATTGACAACTGCCACGGCAGCGCCAGCGTTGATGACAACGCCTGCGCTGACGCCTACGCTGATGCTAACGCCGACGCCGATGCCGACGCTGACGCCAGCACCCTCTACAGCTATTAAAACCGAGCCCATGCCTGACGTCATCGCCTTGACCACCACCAATAGCAATAACAACAGCAATAGTAGCACCGCAGCTAATGCCAGCAGCGGCATTGCGTCTACTTCGGCCGCCGCGGCAGCTGCGGCAGCTGCTTCCTCCAACGGACATTTAGTATTTGTGCCCAACAAACGTGCGCGTCTCGATGCGTAAGTTTTATCAGAGCTTTTTCTTTGCTCTTACTCAAAATTTGTGTGTCTTTGCAGGCCCGAGGATTGGATGTCGACACCAAGTCCAGGCAGCGTGCCAAGCTCAGCTCCGCCGCTGTCGCCGTCGCCCGGTTCACAGAATCATAGCTACAACATGTCCAATGGTTATGCATCGCCCATGTCAGCAGGCAGCTACGATCCATACAGTCCCAATGGCAAAACAGGTGAGTGCAAGCGAGAGCGAGATAGAGAACGGCGAGCTTTTGTTGTGAGCTGTTGTAAAGCGCCACCTCGTGTTCATTGACGTGTGGCAAGTTACGCGTGTTGACATGTAGATGGCGCTTTCAAACAGCTGAATGCTTTTAGGTTGCTATTTAGCCGCGTTCGTATTAATTTGTATTGTTTTTTTTTTTTTAAATTTTAGTTTTATGGAATTGAAACTTAAACAAATAAAAATAAATTTTATAACACATAATTAAGATTAATAGTATTAGTTGTGTGGATTATGTTGGCGGAAGAAAAGGCAATAGTTTTAAATATTTATTGGGAACATCTAAAATTTTATATATTATACACATACTATTTCAAGTATAGGTTATATTTTGCCTTGTAGTAATTTACATATACTTGCACATATTTCTTTTTTAATATAATGCAAGGTTCGTTGAAATAAATTATTTTCATATTTTTTTTATACGTTGAAAATGGGAAATCAGGGCATAAAATGTGTTTTTATTTGAACTTTTTATACCCTGAACCCATTTTTAATGGGAAATCAGTGTATAATGGTTTTGTTAAATGTATGTAACAGGCAGAAGGAGACGTGGCAGACCCCATAAAGTATATATATTCTTGATCAGGGTGACGAGCTGAGTCAATTTAGCCCTGTCCGTATGTCTGTCCGTCCGTCCGTCTGTCCGTATGCTTGAACGCGTCGATCTCAGAAGATATAAGAGCTAGAGACTTGAAAATTTTTTCTTAGGTCCGTGTATAGCACGTGCATATCGAATTTTGCTTTAAATATCGATAAATTGCCCTGTTATTTTGTTATCGATTAAAACATTATCGAAAACCAGTAATAAATTTATATCTCCTACATCTTTCAAGCTAGAGTCTCCAAATTTTGTTGTATATCTATATGCATTTTATACAATTTCGGTTTTGTCAAAATTTACCCCCCACCCCTAATTCACCATCACATTTGTAAAAAGCGTATTTCAAATACTAGGGACTTACGCTTTGGCAAGTATATCTGAGTTATAATCATAATCTGAAAGTCTCATGAAGAAAGTACATCCACAAGAAAAGTTATTGAACAATTAAATTCCCTTAGTAAGCCACCACTGCAGCCAATGCGTGTTTCTGTTTAGAACTGCATTGTTTAATTTAAGTTTTCAAAATTTCTGTAATATTTTTTCTTGTCAGAGCTGTCCAATGTGGTCATCCCATTTATGAATACATCAGACTTGCATATTTATATACAGGAGCTTAGAAAACAGATTAAGTGCGCCACCCACGAAAACCCGCGTTCCGTCGAAACGCAGTTTATTAACCTGCTTTCTGTCTGCAAATAAATAAACGAGGCGAAAATGTTTGGACAAGGAAAACCGTAACGAAACCAAATAGAGACCCAAAACTGAATTAGACACGAACACAAAAACAAATATATACATATATATAGATATATATATGTATATACCTTACAGCAGTACCCACTGAAGAACGTGCCTTTCACCTTTCACGTGCAAACGTGGCCATTTTCAAGGTCGCGCATGGCAGACGCTCGAGAAGAAGCAGAGGGCGGGTCCTTCGAAGAGGGAGGAACTCACTGAAATTACCAAAACGCGCCGGCAGACAAGCCCTGGGTGTTAGATATGGGTGGGTGGGGCGTGGGGTGTGTGCCTGGGTTGTTGTTCTGGCTATTTTAGGCTGCCTTGGCTGCCTTGGCTGTCTGACTGACAATGGCAATAAAGTTGAAAGTTGAAGGTCACCAGACAGCGTCGGCGTCAGCGTCGTTTTTTGGCATTACCGCCAAGTTGAAGGCTAAACAAGCAGACAATAAACTTAGAGGTAGACACTCAACTCCTGGCTCTCGTCGTCGCCCCCTTCAAACGCCCCCACAACGCATTGCACGCAGCTTCATTTCCAGTTGATATCTTCCAGTGCTTTTGGGCTTTTCTCCCTCTTTTTTCTGGGTTCGTCCCAAATTTATCGATTACTTGGGCGCCCGTAGGGGGCGTGGTTCGTGTGCTTTTGAACCCCAACAGCAAATCGAGAAAGCAGAGAAAAACAACTCGTCTCGCTTTCATTCTCGCCGCTTGTGGAGCTGTCTGGCGGCGCGCGGCGCAGGCGAGGCAGTACGAGGCAAGGACCCAGAGAACGACCCACAAAAGCGAGAGATTTAGGGGGGAGAGGAGCAGCTGTAAAAGGAAAGCGCGTAATGGAATGAAATCATGCCAAGGCTGTATGGTGTTTTGTATGGTACGAATGCCAGACAAGGACGCAGGATAACGCAGACGCACGGAGGCGCACAGGCTGAGCCAACTGCTGCAAACGAGGCACTTAAACGGGCCGACGCATAAAATGCCCAAAATTTGCCACAGGGAGCGATAAGAGTGCAGGGGCTGTGGCAGAGGCAAAGGCAGAGGCGAGGCGCTTGTCTGCGGTGCTCTTACGAGAGAGGGTATATCGCATATCATGAATCAATACGTAACACTTCGTGATTGACAAGAGCGGAAGATAAAATCCTTATTTGAAGTCACTCAATCTCGAATGATTGATTTTCATGGGACGATGGCTTGATTGAATGATTGTTAGCTGACTGAATGACAGAAAGACAGACAGCCAGATTGATTGAATGAATTGACTGACTGATAAGTTCACTGTTGAACGAATCATTGGTGGACTAACTGACTGACTTATTGACTGATGGAATGAATAAGAAAGCCAGTCATCCTTATTCATTCCTTCAGTCGGTCTGTCAATAATCTCAAACTGAATGACTGACTGATTGAGGGGACCAAATGGGGACTAAATGAGGGAATGTCGCGAACGAACTGCTTGTTTGATTGACTGATTGATCTATTCAATGGCTGTTTACCCGCTGTACTAATGCACAACGGACTTTATGCTTGATTGACAGATGCATCGATTGACTCAGTGTGAAATATTCATCCTGTTTGAGCTAGTGAGTCGATTGATTAGGCGCTGATAGATACGCAGTAGGGATTGACTGATTGCACGACTGACTTATCAACTAATATATAATATATATGAGCGCACGGATATTCAAGCCTCGCCTTTACTTCAAGAACTTGCTCCGCCTAGCGTCTATTTATACCCTAAGCCCATTGAAAATTTTAATTTCAAGGTATTCTGGTTTTATTAACATATATGTAACAGGCAGAAAGAGGCGTGGTAGAGCCCATAAAGTACATAAATTTGACTTGAATTATTATATTGTGAGTCGAGTATGAATTGAGTTTGCTTAAAAAAATCAATAACTTGAAAGTTATCGATTAAAATGCTTTCTAAAAGCTGAAATAAAATAAAATTATATGTTATACGTCTTTAAAGCTAGAGCCCCAAAGTTTGTATTTGATGCGAAGATCATGCTAGTCATAATTCGGAAACTTAGATACGTATTGGTATGAATGTGCAAGTATTTTTAATAGATATTAAATATCTATTAATGCACGAGTAGAGACGATAGAGTAGGCAGATCTTGACTCTATTTTAGTTACTTTATTTTATTTCATATTTGCTTTTTCTCCTTTTGCAATTTCACTGTCAATTGCTCTCTGCTGGCTGCCTGTTCAATCAGGCGTATGCGCAATGTCTGCAAATCCATAAATCGCTCCCATGAAACTGAACACGAAATTGAAAGGAAAGAAAAAGCAACCAGAGTGCTTTAGAGGAGGCTGCCCAACTAGGAAATACCCTGAACCCACCAAAGGGCTCAATTTCCATATTCTATATCCTTAAGTCCGATTTATTACATAAAAATAATCATGGCTATATGGACTCAGCTCATCGTCCGCAAAAAGAATATATATGTGCTCAGCCTGTTACATACACTTTCCCTTAAACCAATATACCCAGATTTTCCATATTGCAAAGGATTCAGGCTATAAAAATAGAAAGCGCATGAGACATTTTTGTACTTTTCAGACGATTGCGCTTGGGCTTTTACATATGAGCTATGTATGTGAATAATAATACATAAATATTTTATATAATATATGTACGAATGTATGTATGAGAGGTCTGGCAACTGTAATTGGTTATTTATAAGTTGGGTCAGCGTAAATGCATTTAACGCGTCGTTGTTTGGGCCATTAATCTTATGCCAGGACAGGACAGGCCCAAGGCCGCAAGGTCATGGTCCCTAACAGATGCGCCCTGGGGAGGATTCGATTGAGCGAACATTGAAAGAAAACCTCACGATTTCCATAGAAAAAGGGATAGCAAAGTAGAAGGAAAATCAAACATTAAATCCACTGAAACTGGTAGGGGAATCGGCGAAGGCTAACTTTATAATGAAAACGAAAACTTTGCAGACACAACAAGAGCTCAAAGATAAATTCAGTTCAGTCAGTTCAGTCGAATGTCATTAAGGTAAATTATTATTATTATGTCTATTATTATTATTATTGAATATGAAGGAATTTATCTAAATATAATCACATATAAATTATATAATTTGTACTAATATACATATTTTTATTATTATTATCAGTATTAAGCACAATGCTAGGGGAGAAATTTATCAAAACATAATCTAAGGACTGTAGATCTCTTAAAATCTTGGGCCAAATCATATTCCAATCTTTTTATACAATTTTCACATTCATTACATTACAAGCAATAAAAGATATTAAAACAATCTGAACGAAAACGTATCCAAACTTAATTGGACTATATATGTATATATAATATATCCTTATTCATTTTTATATAAAATATATTCATATGAGTTATGCAAGGACAGCAACATCTCTATCACAATGGATAGATAAACTGAGGCAATATATATATTATTAGAGTATGATCTTTTATTTGAACTGGTTCTATAGTATTACAATGCAATAATATATAATATTAACAAGTAAGAAGGCTCCAGTCGAGACTGCTCGACTGGGAGATACCCTGAACCCTCTAAGCTGATATTCTAATCATTCTGCACTTCTTTTATGCACACATACATACACATGCATCCACACGCACGCATAAGCCTGCGCTCTGCTAACTGCGCAGTAAGCAGCGACTGCGCTTGGGCTGCGCTGCAGTGTGGGCAATATTATGAGAATTTATTTGTTAAATAATTTCTTTTGTAGACATACGATCTTAATGAAACTTTTAGAGCGTAATCATATGGTGAATATGTGTGTATATTCCAAAGCCCAAGTCTCTAGTATTTGAAATACGCTTTTTACAAAAGTGAGGGTGAGGGGGTGAATTTAAGGGTGGGGGGTAAATTTTAACAAAAACCGANCACGAGTATGCATGCCAAATTTCAGCTCTCTAGCTCTTATAACTTCTGAGATCGACGCACTCATACGGACGGACGGACGGACGGACGGACGGACGGACGGACGGACAGACGGACAGGGCTATATCGACTCAGCTCGTCGCGCTGATCAAGAATATATATACTTTRTGGGGTCTGCCACGCCTCCTTCTGCCCGTTACATACTTTTTCACAAAACCAAATAAATAAATAAAAAGTATAGATTAGTTCTATGAAGAAGGAATTCCAGAACAATAGTCTCTATTACGATCCGATGCTAAGAAAATATTTGTTGAACCCAGTGAACTTAGTAGTCCTCAATAATACTTATAATCGCTTTAATTAAGGAGATCCTCTATATTTCTGATATGTGCTTCATCTGAGATAGATTTCGCAACTAACTTGTTTTACAACTCATTTCATTTCAGGTACGCAAATTCGATTAAGTATAATTATCAAATCAGAAGAAAATTTTCTAAGGTGAGCTACTTAAGTTATGTACACCTATTTAACTGTTGATTGCGTATGAGACAGGCCTTCAGCTTCAGTTAGCTGCCTCAGATTTTAAGAGCTCTACAAATTAGCATTCAAACCGCTTAGCTGCAGGCACTTTCCAGAGAAACCCAATCGACAGCAAAATATACGAAAATCGAAAAGCCGAACCTCTACCGAGCTCTGCCGTCCCTCCTTTACCTCTTGCCTTAAATGAAATGCTCGATCGATGGGCATCGATTGAGCAATGACTGCAATTAGGTGCGTACCAAATGTCTAGACGGCCAAGCCCCGAAGAAACAGAATCCAGAACCAGACCAGAGCCCAGCGAGCGAAACAATAGAAGAAGCTGAAAACGAAATCGCTAAAGGAGAAGAAAAAATAAGAAGAAGAGTGCCTTAATCTGTACAGGACACGCAAAACTAAAGTTAAAATTTTTTCTTTTTTTTTCATTTTTTTTTTGCACTCTTCAAGGTTTTGCAGCGATGAATTTCAATTTCAATCATGTGCCTGAAACATGATAACACGCCATGCTCTGTCTCTTTTGCACGCGCTCTCTCTCTATGGCTGTCTGGCTGGATTTCATATAAGAAACCGGTTTCGTCTTGTTGTTTGTGGCTTGCATTTCCTGATTATGCCTTAGAACTTGCCTCTTGACCAAATAAAAAAAAAAACGATCTGTTCTTCTGCTTGCAAAAATTTGTCGCTGCGGTTGTTGTTGTTGTTGTTGTCTGGACTTTTGTTCAAGGTCTCCCGACAGCAGCTGCTTTTTTTCATCATTTTTACTTTGCAACTTCTTTCTTATATGGTTCTTAGCAGGTACACTTGTCTGCCCATTGTCCAAAATACTTGATGATCATCGCTCGCGTTGCCATCATTATCATCATCGGCACCATCATCATCATCCTCATCATCATTTGTGGCTGGCTTTACTGTGTCAAATGGTCTGCAAAAAGGGGTTGTTCGTCCCAAAAAGAAAAAAAAACGACCCAGAGGACAGAAAACAAAGTTCCATTGTTTATGTCGGCACATGTTCTCTCTCTCGCTCTCTGGCTCTCTCACTCTTTCGCACACTCTTCATTCTCTTCTCTTCAAGTCGTGTTGTATATAAGCTTTTTCGTATATAGCTTGACCTTGATCTTGAAAACAGTCCAAGCTATATACAGATATGTGCATATCTATATGTATATGTATGTATGTCTGTATGTGGACATATGGGCTGAGCGCGTGCAGCACATTTTGGTGGTGTGCTGTGGCTGCAAGTGGTTTTCTTGTACAAGCTATACAGGGTGTCTGTATAGGTCTTATTGGGATGCAAACAGCAGGAAATGCAGGAGTTCGATTTCAGAGTGTGGAGTCAATGAGAATAAGCTTTATAAACAATAAAAATTTTAAAAATATTTTCTTTGTATATGTAATAATAAATAATAAATAAATATGTATTCAATATATCCTACAATAACATTATTATACAAAACCGCTGGGAGAGTGACATTAGGGCGTTCTATGATATTTTAAATTCCTTCTTATACTACATTTATGAATATTAAAATCTGTGTCCTGCCTCTTCAGTCTTAAATTATATCATAATATATATGCAGTATATAAGCTTTATGTATGTATAGTTATTCTATATATATATGTATACATACTGTGCTATAATGTAATTATAATACAGATTTATCAACCCAATAATAAGTTTCAATGATTTTCAATGATGATACAATGATGATACAATGCAAAAAGAACAAAGAAAATCTTAAAAGGTCTTTGTAAAGTTCAGCTATATATTGTAAAAAATACGTAATATCGAGTGTTTGGTCTTTTGAACACTTTTTGGGACAGATAGACTTCTATATATGATTATTAGATTGATTTGATTTGGATATATATATGTAACTACATATGAATGTAAAGAAATACTTTTTCATTAATCAGATCCTGGTAAATACCCTTTAAGTTTATGGTAAATACCCTTTAGTTATGCAAATGGGCTTTAGTTCTTCGTTATGGATCTACGAACACTTTGCTTTGACTTCGAGTAATTCCACTAAATAGACTGAATAAACAAAATCTAAATATATTTTAAATAAATAGTTATACATATATGATCATCATTGGTATTATAATTATAATTATAAATATATCATAAATAGACATCTATTCATATGTGATCATAAAAATAACTTTTGTTTAGCTGATTTGATTTGGATTTCACTTTTGTGTTTTATTGGAACACCCTGTTAACCCACTGCGCCTGTAACCCAATTAACTTTCAACTGCAGAAGCAAAGCGACGCAAGCGACTTAAAAAAAACAAAAAGAAAACGTTAAACTAAACGAAAATAAAAAAGTATTAAAAACTTACCCCGCTCCAGTTGAAGGGTTAAAAACAAATTTGAAACCCCGGAGCGCAAAACGTTACCTAATATCCCAAGCCAAATGGAACTCTATGTGTGTGTGTGTTTGCATGTGTGTGTGTATTGAATACGTGGAAGCATAAATAGGCCAAATGCCATTAGCACACATGCGAAACTGACGCTGAGGCGGGTTTGGCTTTCCTGTTTTGAACGCACACTTATGCATTGACATACATATATACATATAAATAAATATAGGCATATATATATATAGAACTGTAAGTGCAACTGCTTTTCTGCCTGTGTGAGTGACGTGCAGAGAGAACCCGCACAATTAATTCCAGTATAATACGAAGAAGAAGCGAAACAAATATATATACATATATATACCCACACATACACACACATATCTGTGCTTGTATGTGGCCAAACCTCAGAAGTTAGTCGAAAATTGTGCAGTTTCTGAGTTTGTCCTTGAAATTCATGAGAATTTTAAAATAACATCGTGATGATGTTGTTGCTGATGATGATGATGACGTCTAGTTAATGCTCTACAGAAACCCAATAAAATATGTTCGTGCCACGCCCACAGCCGAAAACAGCATATAGAAAGCATTTTAGACCCAATACGTGAGCTACGTGCCACAAATGGATTTTAGTTGTTTATGCCCCATCGCCCTGTTGTATACACAAATACACGCACACACCCACACACAGGATTAAAATCTCCTCTCGTCGGGGCTTTCGTTGACAGTTCAATTTGCATTCGGTTTATTTTGCCGTAATCCTTGGGCCGTACTTGGCCCGAATAGGGATTTATGAAGGCCACGGCTGAAATTGTTTGTGTCCGGCTGATTGGGATTTTTTGCACAGCTCGGATTGATCTTAATGAGGGAATATCTTCACAGAAACTCGTAAAGAGGCACACAGTGCAGGAGTGTTTAGAACTATAGAAACATCATTTACAGTTATCCACAGAGATACAGGCAAAAGGAAGTGAACTCTGTTCGGATCTCTAAAATATTCAAGTAATAAAAGCAACATGGAAATACTGTAATGGCAATGATAATGCATTATTTTCATGATATAATATAAGAAAAAATAAATATAAAACTTATAGGGAATCTCTTTGTGGACTAGGCTAGAATACGTAATGCACTGGTTGGTTATCCTAGTTCCTGTCAGGATTGAACCGGGCGTTATGCTGGCTTAACCGCATTAAGATGGGGCCATAGAGCACTGTCTTCAGTTTTTTGGTCCCCTTCCCGTCTAGGTCTCATATTTTCCGCCGTGAAGTATCTTAATATATGGACGATAGATTGAGTTATACGAGAGTGCAGTAGTACTAAATATCTAAATTAAAGTTTTGATCTTTATATGCACTTGGAATTGTTTTCAACATGTTCTGTTTAAAATTGCATTTCATTCATTTCAAGTCTGCATCAATATTAATATATTAATATATTTATTTATTTAATTGTTACAAAGAATTAATTCTAAGTAACAATTTAGTTTGAAGAGCAACAAAGGCCTTCAGGCAGACTTTTGTTTCCTATTTATTTTAATATATATTTAGCTGAATATCTTCGATTCTGAATGTATTTCCTCTACTTCTATTTCACTTCTTCATTTTGGAATTTTGATATACTCCCAAAACGTGGCATTATGATGCTCTCTTTCTCTATCGGTCTCTCTCTCTCTCTTCTAAATCCTTCTCGCTCTGAGTGAGCTCAGTAAATTTGTTGTTGTTTTTAGACATTTTCAAATATACATATATTTACTCATTTTCAGTTGCGCTTTCGCTGTATTTTTATAGTCAATTGTCGTCGTCATCGTCATCGTCGTTGCTGTTGTTGTTGTTGTTGTTGTTGCAGCTGGTATATACATTCACAATATATTTGTATATATATATGTGCATAGGTATTTTGCACTTGGCCTTGAATTAATACAGCGAACTTTGGCTTTTTATATGGCGCAAAAGTTTATCGTACATCTCTGTAAAAAGATAATTAATTTGCTATGGGCTGGGGCGGGGGAGTGCAGCGGGCGGAGCACAGTGAGAGCGAGAGCCAGGGCGAGGGGGTGGGCGATGCGAGGGCGAGGGGAATGTGGCGATAATTGCGAGCGCATTTCAATTTAAGCTGCCTGCAGCACAAGCAGCAGCAGCAACAGCAGTTACTTTCATTTCATCAATACAGACACAGATATACACTCGAACACAGGCACACTCACACACGCTCTCACACAGATACAGCTACAGAACACGCGCGATAATTTCCAAAAAATGTGGCAACAACAAAGCAACCGTTTTCAAGGTCACACACACTGTCTACCAAAAATACACACACGACACACACACACACGTACACGCTGTTATACACTCTTGTTACTCACACACATTCACATGCACTCATTTAGCTCCCTCGAGAACGCCAAAATATCAACAGACTTTGTTGATAATTTTTTGTTCCCATTAATTTTTTGCTCATTTTTTGTTCTTTTCTCTTCGCGAATTTCGCATAAAACAGGCATGTGGGGTATATTGAACTATAGAGTGGGCGTGCCCATAGAAAGGTAAATGGAGCAAGATATTTATAGAGCGCTTCAGCATATTCTGCGTGCTTCATATACATATATGAATCTGACGCATTGAATATCAAGCTATTTAATTTTGAAGCGGATTATTATTTATAACCTATCTGATTAAAAACTAATCATAGTTGAGCTGCATTCATGTTATTATTTATAATTAAGATTAGTAAATACCTCTATAGTCGCCTTTTCTTTTGGAATTCTCCATAAAAATAGTTCTCATTAAAAAAAAACAATATTGAATTTTCAAAATAATTTTCCCTAATTTGAAAGCGTTTTCGGACGACTTTTGGGACAACTATGTATTTCATTTTGGTCTTGGACTTATCTTCGGTGCTTTACTTTTATTGACTTACAAACCCTTTAAGTGCATTAACCATATATGTGAATGAAACCAAGGCTCAAAGCGACATTAAAAATGCATACAGGATATTCTCTTTCTCTTTTGTAATAGTATTTTAATAGAGATCCTAAAAAGGGAATGAAAATGATGCATATACAAACTAAGCTCTCGTACCTGGAACGGAATGGAATTGAAACAAGAAATTGGCAACTTTTAAGTAAAATCCTTTTCAATAATATGAATGCTAATGAGATTGACTAAAACACTTGACACTGAAATATTTAAAAAATATAAATGAAATATAAATATAAGAAATT